CCAATTATTTTTGAGTAGCATAAATTTTAGTGATAATATGTTTTTTATGGTATGTTGTAATTTAAAGAATAGTTGTTGAAAAAGATAACTTTTTGCTTGGCAGTAATAGTTTTATGTTTAAGTAAGTATAAAATGTTTGCTTTAACCTAATAATAACTTGAGTTTAATCACTGCCTATTATTGAACTTGTTTATGTTGTTTCTGGGAAACCTTCATGGCACGTGGCATCTGTAATGCACTATTCTGCCCTGGGAAGTTGATTGTCTTTGTTTCTCTAGCCGTTGTGTCTGGTTCCTGTCTTGACATCACTTACATAATAGGAAATAATAAGGAAACTTGGGAAAGCAAAACCAATCTGTAACTCCTTCTCCGCCTTTTCTTCCAGGTGTATCCCTGAAACCCACTACATGCTTCCAAGTCTAGAGAACAGAAACACGCTTTCAGTAAGTTATATGTTTATGTCTCAGTTTGTTTTATATTGTGTTGTAGGAGGTTTATGCTGGTTTTCTTAAACTGAAACAAAGAAATGAATATGACAAAAAGAAGGTAAGATTTTCATAACTAGACATTATACTTTATGCTTGGTACATGCTTGCAATGAAAGAATTTGAACTGAATTTGAACTGTTGTAATGCAACAAAGTGGAGGAATCCAATGGGGGGGGGGTGTTGGTAGGGAAATCCCAGTGCCTATAATAAAACTGTGTCACATAATGCAATGTAATCAATAAAATAAAATAAAATAAAATAAAACTTTCAATGACATTTTTAAAAAAAGAAAATATCTAACCTAACATAGAATATTATCAAATTTTTCAGACATTCCATATTATTTGGTCCCTCTGCATTATCATTCACACAATTCCCTCTTTCTCTGAAATGTATTAAATACACAATCACAACTTAAATAATTGTTTCATTAAATATTCTCAAACCAAAATGTCATATTATGGGAAAAAATTGAAACTGAGAAATTCTTAATTACTGTGGGATATCAAGTTTGAAATGATATTTATTGATCTTACAGATGATATAATGAAAATCATTTAGTAACAACCTGAAAAAAGCACTCAACATTTGGGAGTAGTAAGAGTTTCCAAATACAAAAATAGTTATCAAGTTTTCAATTTTGCTTTTTTGGAGTTGCTGAAATTGTATGGTGCCTAGTAGCATGTGGAGGTTTTATTTATTTAAAAAACTGATTTAAGACATGTCTGCTATCTGCTGATTGATTTTCAAAATGTTCACAATGGTCAGGGCTGGACTGTGTCAAAAAGAAGAACCAGGAGGTCCAACTGTGTCTCCTAGATGAATCTCTCACCCCAGTGCTTGAGCCATCTTCTGCTGTTTCCACTGCATATTAGCTTAAAGCTAGATTGGAAATGGGGAAAGTGGTAGCTTAACCTGATATGCCACAATGCCATTTCTTTCTTTCTTTCTTTCTTTCTTTCTTTCTTTCTTCCTTCCTTCCTTCCTTCCTTCCTTCCTTCCTTCCTTCCTTCCTTCCTTCCTTCCTTCCTTCCTTCCTTCCTTCCTTTCTTCCTTCCTTCCTTCCTTCCTTCCTTCCTTCCTTCCTTCCTTCCTTCCTTCCTTCCTTCCTTCCTTCCTTTTCTTTCTTTCTTTCTTTCTTTCTTTCTTTCTTTCTTTCTTTCTTTCTTTCTTTCTTTCTTTCTTTCTTTCTTTCTTTCTTTCTTTCTGATTTATTAGTTTGAAAGTCAGAGCTACTAAGAAAGAGAGAGAGGTGGAGAAAGATATCCCATCTCCTGGTTCACTCCTCAAATAACCGGAATGTCCAGAGAAGAGCAAGTCTTAAATCATGGGACAGGGTTTTTGTCCAGGTCTGAAACTTGGCTACAGGAACCCAAGTGTTTGAGCCATCCTCCACTTCTTTCTAGGCCTGCTATCAGGGAGTTGGGTCAGAAGTCGAGCATCCAGGATATGAACAAATGCCCATGTGGTATTTCAGTTTCTTTATCCACTAAATGAAAGGGCTGGCTCCTGCTTCACATGTTTTGGTTTTTATTTAAAATGCAGATTTATGGAGAAAAGATGAAAGAGTGAGTGAGCTAAAGATCTCAGTAGGTAGTGCTTAAAAATTTGCCATTAGGGAAATGTAAATCAAAATCATAATGAAATATCACCTCAACCCTGACCAAATGATTTTTAATACTTAGAAGAAAGGATAACAATTACTGGTGAATATGTGGAAAATGAGAACTTTTATACAATGTTTATGGGGTGATAAATTAATTCAATCACTGTATAAAATTTCTGAAATGGCTATGCTGTATGCCCTAAAAGTATGAACATATTATATAAAAGATATATCTGTAACCATCTTGTTTACTGTAGCAGTGTTCATAATACAGAATATATGGAATGATCTGAGGTGTTCATAATTAGATGAAGCAATAAAGAATATGTGCATATGTACAATAGACTATTATTCAGCTATGAAAGCAAAATTTTGTGGATTGCATGAAAATGCATGTAACTAGAGTATAAGGGGTTATATATACTAGTTACTGATATATAAATATTCCATATTCTATTATATAGAGTAACTTGAAAAATCAAAAGGAACAAAAATAAAAGGAAGAAACACCTATGTTTATCAATATTGGTGCAAATGCAATCTTCACAAACAAATGGTGAAGCATGATATTAAAATAAATAAATTAATTAATTAATTAATGGGCCCAGCAGCATGGCCTGGTGGCTAAAGTCCTCACCTTGAATGCACCAGGATCCCATATGGGCACCGGTTCTAATCCTGGCAGCCCTGCTTATCATCCAGCTCTCTGCTTGTGGCCTGGGAAAGCAGTCGAGGATGGCCCAAAGCTTTGGGACCCTGCACTCTTGTGGGATACCCAGAAGAAATTCCTGGATCCTGGCTTCAGACCGGCATATCATCGGCTGTTGTGCTCATTTGGAGAGTGAATCATCGGATGGAGGATCTTCCTCTCTGTCTCTCCTCCTCTCTGTGTATCTGACTTTCCAATAAAGTACCTAGAAAACAAAAGAGATAACTGGTTAATTTTAAGTGGCTTGCGAAGCACAGAAGCAAGTTGATTTATAACAGCTTGGCGTTTGCCTTGCATGTATATTTTCTGTATAATTGGCAGCCTATGACTGGATGTGAGTTAGCTACCTGTTACAAGAAGGTAGTTCTGAATGAGCTTGTAATTTATTTCCCTACTAAGTTTGAAGTTCACTGCATTTAAAATTTAGCTTAATTTAAAAGTTTTACTTTTTTATGAAAAGTTTTTTCCTAAAAAGCAAAACAAATAAAAAGCAGAAAGGATTTTAATATGTACATCCTCCAAAAAAATATCACATATGTATTTAAATCCAGAGTAAGCTGTAGGAACTATTCACTCATTTGTACAAGTTTAATTTAAAATTTTTTCCAATATTTCATTTTTCAAGTTGAAATAAGAAAATGTCCCTTCCAGCAGGACAGTCAACGGAGGTCGTAGCCAACCTAGGAGAGAATGGGGGACAAGAGACACAAGAAATGGACAGCAAGTCAGTATGTCTGATCATGCTGGCCGATTTTATTTTTCACACACAAGGCTTTATATTCTGCAAAACAGGATCTATGGGTGAGGGGAAAGAGGAAGTAGGGTATTGGGTATGGTTTCACAGCTCTTTCTGGATAGCTAACCCTAAAAACCCCTTATGCTTGCAAGAGGTGGGCATGGTTTCACAACTCTTTCTGGGTTGCTATTTCTAAAACTCCGTTATGCTCACAAGAGGATGCTGGCAGTTAGAGCATAAGCCAATATCCTGTCATGAGCACCAAGGGTGGTCAGGGCAGGGTAGGTTGCTAGATGACTTGTAAACTGCAGGGCATCTTAAGACTTGGTTTCTCTTGCACTTTGCTAGCTGGTGTTTTCCACTGACCTAGATCTATATTCAAAATGGCTTCAGTATGGTTATAATATATGGCTCCCAAAAAGAAAATTGAATTTTATTAATGTCACTTTATAAGATTTTTTAAGTATCAGCTTGTTTGAGAAAAACATCATGAATTATTCAAAAATTTTCTCACTATCCTATCCAGTACTAAACGTGTCTTTCTTATCCAATCTAGCATGTTATTTAGCTCAATATTCATAGTTATACCTACAGATTACACAGTGCACCTATAATTATTAGAGAAAATAATCTTACTAAATGATAAAGTAATTCCATTGTAACTTCAGAATTTCAAATATAAAGTAGGACAAGATGTTTTTATTTTGTATTTACCTTATATTGCCATATAAATTATAAAGTCATCTGTTGTCTCTAGAAGATGCAAAGAATAGTAATCCTGAGCTGAAGTTTTAGTCATATCCCTCAGAAGACTGAACATGAGATATCCATGGGTACAGATTCTGTTCTTATTGTATGGTTTTGAACAGAGAACAGACTCAGTTCCTAATCCTATGCCTTAAGTGAGTGATCCAGAAAACTTTCCCCTGCTTCATAGCTGAGAAATCAGTAGAGAAGCCCCCATATACCTTTCTGATAAGAAGAAATTCTACAGAAAGAGAATATAGGGCAACATGGCAGTTGGAAAAGACTCAGCTTACTATTTCAGGCACTGAGTTTATATTTTTGCTCAGTGTTAAAATGCTTATTTATTTTAATTTAATTCAAAAGCAGAGTGACAATAACAGGGGCGAACAGAGTGATATCTTCTACGTGCAGGTTTATTCTAACAATACCTTCAACATTTAATCAAAATCAGAGTCATTAGAGGAAAGAATCTGTGACAAAATAATAAGGGATAGTGTATTGTAGTTTTGGAATTGTAAAAGTAATGCAGAATGCATGTTTTCATTTTGCTTTTACTCTATAATGCCATATAGATTATAAATCAAGCTACATTCATATGTTGCAAATCAAACATATGTAGAAGAATGTACTGTCAGTCTTTCTATTTAGTGATCCAGAACTGAGGAGACATGTGCTGTTTCAGATGTTGGTGTCATTTGAAGATGTGGCTGTGGACATTACCCAGGAGGAATGGCAGAACATGGACAATACTCAGAGGACCCTGTACAGGGATGTGATGCTTGAGACCTATAGCAATCTGCTGTCCGTGGGTGAGTGATAATCTGTCATGCCCAAGCAGAATACTATCTTTATACTTGACAAATTAAAGAATTTATAAAGTTTAGTACCTAGTAGGACTAGTATTTGAGGCTTTAAAGAATCTTAATATCTACTATTCAGATAATGATTCATATTAGCCATTTTGTGACACAGATTCTAGTTCCAATCTTTTCTTCTTTAAGCTCCAAGATAGTGATTTCACAAAATCTCTATTATTTCCAATTAACAGGGTATCACATAACAAAACCTGATGTGATCTTCAAGTTGGAACAAGAATCAGTACCATGGATTGTGGAAAAATCTGTACACCAGCAGCTTCCAGGTAGGGCAATACATACTGGGAAGGCAAGTTGATAAGTATCTCAGTAAATATTCACTGAAATACATGCTGATTTTTTAAAATGTTTATTCCAAAATCAGCTTATGTCATGCATGAGACAGACACTCTACAGTCTCCATGCACAGTTCTATTCTAACAATGCCTTCAAATGTTAACATTTATCAACCTGAAACCAAAAATGTAAAAATAAATATTGATCTTTTATGTGATCCCAGCAAAACAAGACAAACTGGAACTGTTATGCGATGTAATACATCCCAAGCATCAGTTTGAATTTCTGTACCATTTTTTCTGCTCTGCCCCTATCAACTTAAAATGGAAAATCCTAAGTAATTGAAAATGGATAAACAAACCCTATTTATTGTGTTAATGTAGTAACGTAAAAAGTGTAAAGATCATAAATGTGTCCATTTTTTGAATATTAAAATCTGTTATATCTAGAATGGCAAGAAACATCATTGTCTTTCTTCAGCATTTAAAAGAAATATTTAGGTGTGATTCATGGATGGTTATTCTTTTTCCTCATTTCAGATCCTTACAGAAAGAATGAGCTCCTTGGAACTAATCAGGAAAATCAAGAAACCACTTTCAGGCAAGTTGCAATCACAAAAGTTGTGTAACTTCAAAAAGAGTTACATTGCCATAGATGATTAATTTAAGCTCTGGCCATAATTGAAACATGCTATGAAAAGGAAATTGTATAAAAAAGAAACTAAAAATATAATTTCTTCTTTTTATTTTTTTAATTTTCAGAGAAGTTAAATTTGTAAAGGTATCAGGTGAATGTAGAAAGCAGACAGAATGGAAAAGGACCAGCTTGGAGAGAGCAGGAAATGGAGTACCTGTTTAGTGAAAAGAAGGGGATACACCAGCATTTTTCGGAAGGGTCTTTGGTTTTTAAGTGTTCCATGACTCTTCCTTGTCTGCACAGGAATTTGTGGGAAGAAGCTTCCTATTGGTTGTCTCTCAACCAATAGCTCTTACTGTGTAGTTTCAAGTGTACCCCTACTGCTCTATGGCTGTTCAGGTCTCTGATTTTGGAAGCCGCATGGGTGATAGAATTGAGACAGGAGACAAAATAAAGGAACTGGTCTTTTCTCAGTTCATCTCAGTGGTGTAAATGGGGTCTTCAGAGGTCCATATGAGTCATTTCAAATGATCAAAACCAAGCAGAATACTTGTGGGAGTGCCATGCGTCAGTCCTCTTTCACTAAGGATAAACCAACATGAAGCATGAGAAAGCAGTTTGGAAACTTGGGTACCATGCCAGGTGGTCAGCATTTAGACTTCATCTAGGGAGTTTCTCATCATGCAAAAAAGTAGCCTCTGACAGGGACTGTCAGTCCTCCATCAGGTTTCTTCCAAACATACACCCAGAGCCTTATTCTCAAAGGGGAAATTCAGATGAGAGGAAACAGCAATTCATCCCCCTTAGAAAAAAAATCTATTTGGAGTTTCAACCAGAGCTAGTTCGTGGACAGTGGATGGGGTGGAGGGATCCATATTTATGCAGAGCCATGGGGTATTAAGAGTCATTTTCAAGGTTCAGTTCCACTTGAGGGAAAGCATACCAATACAGTAAATTCTTCTCTCTGCTAAGTCAAGCCACATGACTGGTATAAGAAGCCTTTTAAATGCCCTGTGTTAGGCGCCAGAGAAAATGTTACTAGGAAATCTCAATGGCTCTTTCCTCAGCTTAGTATAGGAACAGAAACTGGGGCTCGGTTGCTTACAGAAGGTTTCCTTCTGAAATGACTAGGTGAACTTAGAAAAAAGAGGGGAGGTGGAAAGTGTGTCCCAGGAAAGATCTCAAAGTTGGGGTACCTTTTGAAAAGAGAGGAATGGACACTATAATTTATTTTAAAATGTGTTTTTTTCCTAGGAAGCCTGATGAAATGTCACTTGGGAAAAAGCATGCCTCTAATGTTCCTGAGAATAAATTCCAATGTGGGGAAAATCTCAGTCAGCATTACAAGATGTACACTTGTAAGCAATCTTTTGAATACAATAAGAAAGAAAAAAATTTCAGCAGGAAGATGTTCCTTAAGTGTGAGAAAATTTGTATCAAAGACTCATGTAATTGCCATATGATTGTAGGAGAAATAATTCAGGTTGATAAGAAAATGCTCCATAGCAAGCATCAACTAACACACTCAGGAAAGAAACTCTGTGAACCTTTCAAGAGTGAGAAATGTCCTATTTATAAAAGAGATCTCAAAATAAATCAGATAATCCAAACAGCAAAAAGTAACTATATATGTCGCTACTGCAAACAGTCTTTTACCTGTAATTCTAGCTTTACCACCAAACAGAGAAGTGACATAGAAGAAAATTTCTGTGTGTGCAATAAATGTAAAAAAAACATTTACCAGAAGGCGGAATTTACTAAAGATAAGATGCTTCCCACTGAGGAGAAACCATATGAATGTAAGGAACTTGTAAAATCCTTTAGTGCTCAATCAGGTCTCCATACACATCAGAGAATTCATGCAGGGGGAAAACCTTGTAAGTGTACAGAGTGTGGAAAAGTTTTTTGCAAGCCATCACTTCTCATTAAACATCAGGGAATTCACACAGGAGAGAAACCTTACAAATGTAATGAATGCGGGAAAGCTTTTTGTTACAAGTCATCCCTAATCCTACATCAGAGAATCCACACAGGAGAAAAACTTCATAAGTGTAGTGAGTGTGGAAAAGCTTTTTGTAAGCCATCACTTCTCATTAAACATCAGAGAATCCACACAGGAGAGAAACCTTACAAATGTAATGAATGCGGGAATGCTTTTTGTCACAAGTCATCCCTAATCCTGCATCAGAGAATCCACACAGGGGAAAAATCTTATAAATGTAGCGAGTGTGGAAACACTTTTTTTCGGAAGTCATCCCTAATTATGCATCAGAGAATCCACACAGGAGAAAAACCGTATAAATGTAGTGAGTGTGGAAAAGCTTTTTGTCGGAAGCCACAACTAATCATTCATCAGAGAATCCACACAGGAGAAAAACCTTATGAATGTAGTAAGTGTGGAAAATCCTTTCGCAGGAATTATGAACTTGTTGTGCATCAGAGAATTCACACAGGGGAAAAACCTTATAAATGTATTGAGTGTGGAAAACGTTTTTGTCAGAAGTCAAAGCTAATTGCACATCAGAGAATCCACACAGGGGAAAAAGCTTATGAATGTATTGAGTGTGGAAAAGCATTTTACCTACAGTCAAGTCTCATTAAACATCAGAGAATCCACACAGGAGAGAAACCTTACAAATGTAATGAATGCGGGAATGCTTTTTGTCACAAGTCATCCCTAATCCTGCATCAGAGAATCCACACAGGAAAACTTTATAAGTGTAGTGAGTGTGGAAAATCCTTTTGCCAGAGTTCTGGTCTTGTTGTGCATCAGAGAATTCACACAGGGGAAAAAGCTTATGAATGTAATGAGTGTGGAAAAGGTTTTTACAAGAATTCAGACTTGATTAAACATCAGAGAGTTCATACAGGGGAAAGGCCTTATAAATGTAGTGAGTGTGGAAAAGCTTATTGTCACAAGTCATGCCTAAACACACATCACAGAATTCACACAGGGGAAAAATGTTATAAATGTAGTGAGTGTGGAAAAGCTTTTTTTGAGAAGTCAAAGCTAATTATACATCAGAGAATCCACACAGGGGAAAGGCCTTATAAATGTATTGAGTGTGGAAAAGCCTTTTGCCAGCAGTCTGGTCTCATTGTACATCAGAGAATTCACACAGGGGAAAAACCTTATAAATGTAGTGGATGTGAAAAAGCTTTTTCTCAAAAGCAATCCCTAATTACACATCAGAGAATCCACACAAGGGAAAAACCTTAAGAATTTACTGAGTGTGGGAAAGCATTTTGCCATAAAAAAGACCTAAACAATAATCAGAGTTCACACAAGGGAAAAACTTTTTCAGTATGATGAGTACGGGAAATCTTTTTGCTAGCAGACAGTTATTACATAAGCTAAGTTTTATGTCTGAACAAGTGTTGAAAAACTCATACAAAAAAACATGGATTGCAATAGAAAGCAAAAACAGACATGGAGCAACAGTTCAGTAACATATCCATAGGAAGGAGCAAAAATATTATATTGACTAAAAATCATTGTTCTGAATTCAATCCTCTACAGATTTTTTGAAGTTCAGAAAAACAAAGGTATGTAAACAGAAAAACTAGCTACTGTAAGGCTGCTGTCACAGTCAAATCTTATAAAGCCCAAAATAAGCATTAGTAAAATTACAGATAGAACTCATTGTAAAATTGCAATAAAATGTGGAAAAATACTTTGAAAGTTGCAGTAATTATCAAATAATAAACATGAGGTATGTCATATTTCAGGACAAGGCTATGTGTTGCTAAAATATTTGAGATGGAATCTGTACTTGATCTCAATGTTTTGTAAATAAGTTCTGGTTTCACATTTTAATTTTGAAAATAAATATTCTGCATATAACACTTGTTTTGAATTCCATATAGCATTTATGCAGTTATCTAGTATAGCTTCTTTTACAGTGTTAATTTGCCAATATTCTATTACAGAGCAATATGGAACTCACAAGTGTCAACTGATGCATGTGGCAGTTGTAGTGCTAATCACCCAGTTTTGAAGGACTTGTGTTTTGTTCAGAATGAGGAGTGATTCATTGGTGACATATGGCAAATTGATCACTTTTGGCCTTTGTCTAATCATTGTATACTTTTAGAGGTATATGCAAGAGTCATAAGAATTGTTTGGCATCAGATTTGGGGGTGTGGTAATGGCCTCTCGATTTTAAATATCAGCTGCCACAATTGCTGCTCACTTTCATACTGATGGCATGCACCATGGCTTCCCACAGCACATTTCTTGCCAATGGATGCCAACCTGTGTCTAAAGTCTTTCAACTATGAGGATTAACATCAGATACAGCCTGATAGCATAGTAGAGTAAGCTTCTGGTTACCCTACTGTGGTAACCTAGGGCACTACTGGTTTATGTCCTAGCTGATTCACTTCTTATCTAGCTCCTGGCTTCTAGCTTCACACCAGCTCAACTACTGTTGTTGCAATCATTTGGGATTTAGATCAATGGAATAAAGATCCCTCTCTGCTTCTGTCTCTATTATAATTTCATGTGAACTAAAAATGTTAGGTGTGGGCATCATGACTGATACTGATATAAATCAAATAATAGTATTAAGCTCATTGGCATGGTCCCATCTGTGACAGCCTTCACTACTTTTATTACTTACTATTTAGGGGCATGACCCTATCACGATCCAAAATGTTGAGCATCAAGTACAAGAAAGGCATCTTTTTCTGTAGAATGTATCATATAACATATTATCAATGCCTTAAATCACAGAATGAGGTTTGTGTACTTCAAAGTGATTTACACCAGCCTTCTCATGATTCCCTAGCTGTGATCCCTCTGATATTGATACTGACCAGATACTGGCCAAGGTCCTCCCTAGGAACTCACCTCAGAAAATACTTTGCAGGGAAATTTATTTAATGTTTTTCAGCTTACATTTTCAAACATTCCCAATCACTCTGACAGCATGCTAATGTCCTTTGATTCTTTTCATTGCCTCCTAGGTAGGTGGAATAGGGGAAATGAAGGGATTTGTGAGGGTTGAGATAAAATAGTATTTATGTATTCAGGTTATAGATCCTGCTTTAGTAACCATGGGTTGGAACAAGTTTCAAAAGTAATGGATCCACTTTCTGTATCTTTCCACCCCTGTATATGAGCAACAGAGACTTACTTTAAATCTCCCTATTTTGTCTTTTTCATGTGCAATTACTGTTGTTATCTAATTTTTTCAAACTGGTTTCTATGTCTTAAAACATTGTTAATTTTGTACTTGAGTGTAACAACATTTAAGTAGGTATTAAGTAAGATAAAACCCATTTTTTAAATTTGGAAAGTCAGATATACAGAGAGGAGAGAGAGAGTGAATGATCTTCCATCTGTTTCAAGTATTCCCTTCTATATTGTGTTTTATTTGCTTAGGGAAAGCTGAGCTCTAAAAGAGTTAAAAACATCCAAGTATTTTACCTTAAATCTGTGATTAAACTGATCCACAGGATAAGAAATTTAAATGACATAAATTGTTATAGATATTTTGTTGAAAAGTAGCCCAAATGAAGCTAACATAGTCATGTTTATGCTGGAAACTATTTTTAAGGTCAATAAGCAAATATGTACTACATGTATAGTGCTCACTCCTACAAGCACTCAGATATATAACTAAAATATGCTTTAGAACTTGGCTAATTCTTTTTTTCCTGCCAAGTTTATTTAAAATTTGATGAAATCACAGAAATAACATTCAAGGTTGGAGTAGGCAGAGAGGAAAATGCACAAGAAAGCTTTACTTCTATCGTGTATCCACAGTGACAGAGAGTGACCCTCTCCATTGCCTGGCCTCTCAGGAGCCTAGGAAGGGGAGTGGTTACATGACACCACTCTCCAATCCCAGATGAGTGTAAGTACCAGAGTCCAGCTCCAACTGACTCAAGAGCTTGTAAAGGATGCATGGATCAGTGAGACAATAAAAGGAAGAGACAAGATGTGGACCACTATGGCATGATGCTCATAATGGACAATTCAGTAAAGTTGCCTTCTTTGTTTATACACAAATCATCATAAGCTTTTGCACAACATCCAATTGTTTTATTTTTACTTCATTATAAAAGAATGATTATAAAATCAATCCTAAAAAATGTTATTATTTTACTTCAGAGAAAATATTTTCAGCAAGCTAGTACTCATTCAAACCTGCCGTGACCTTGGCTGAAGTCAGGAACTCCATGGTGGCAGCACATGCAGTTACATAGTGACAAGTGGTTTACTTATATCCAAAATCAATTTTCACTAAACACAAACTAATACTGCTTAAATATCAAGAGTACAGAGCTAAAGATCAAAGAAATTTATAAAAGCATATAACATAGATTCTTTATTAAATCTTCTAATCAATCATTCATTAATTACTACCACCTTCACCTAGTGCTGATTCAATTGTTTTTTGTTCTTTTGTTAAAAAGCTGTGAAAGGGATCAGGGCAACTCAGACAATCTACAGCGGACCTTTATGAGAAATTTCCTTTTACCTTTATAAACTGTTTTCCTTCTCTAAATATGAGTTCCAATACAAGGTAGAAGTTGTTATAAACTGTTTTCTTTCCCTAAATATAAGTGCCAATATAAGGTAGATATTTTAAGCCATGGGGGGGAGGATGGTGGTTCACATTTGTCTCCCTTTAGAAGATGCCCCATATACTTTCTGCTTTCCGTCAGTGAGAAACCAAAATGCATCATATCATGTGTTGTAACAGTTCAAGGTAAATGGAAAACAAACTGCACCTCCATAATTGCCATCTGTTCCAAAATATTATCAAGCTGTTTCTTTTTTTTTTTTTTAAAGATTTATTTTTATTATTTTTTCATTGGAAAGGCGGATATACAGAGAGGAGAGACAGAGAGGAAGATCTTCCATCCGATGATTCACTCCCCAAGTGAGCGCAACGGGCCGATACTATGCCGATCCGAAGCCAGGAGCCTCTTCCGGGTCTCCCACGCGGGTGCAGGTTCCCAAAGCTTTGGGCCGTCCTCGACTGCTTTCCCAGGCCACAGGCAGGGAGCTGGAAGGGAAGCGGGGCTGCCGGGATTAGAACCGGCGCCCATATGGGATCCCGGGCGTGCAAGGCGAGGACTTAACCACTTGCGCCACCGCGCCGGGCCCTATCAAGCTGTTTCTTAAGGTAAACATTACTTGTATTAGGGCAGGCTTAGGGCAAAGGTGGGCACATAACAAAATGTTTGGAGACATTGTGAGATCAATTTTACTATTGTATTTTTAGCTGTGTGTCATTGCCTTTTGTCACTAAAGATAACTTGATTGATCAGTTTGAGGTGTTATACCAGTTACAGGAATCATTTCACATTTGCAGAAAAACAGCAACAGCACCCTCAGGAGAATTCTATGAAACATCAGAAAGGTGATTAAGTGTCCATACAGTGGGGTGAGGCAGCAATGAGGCAACCAGAGACATTCTGCTGGGCCTTGCCTCGCAGCCAGAGACTCCTTGTAGCCTTGCTAACCAAGGACCAGTACTCATCACACACCCATGCCATCCAAACCAATTGCATGGCTCCCTACATGTGAGTAAAACTTGGGGAAGGGAATATGACTGACCCATAGGCAAGCTGTATTGCATTGGGAGGAAGAGAAATGGCCTCCAATTAGTGTGTCTAAGCTTTCTGTCTGCCTGTGTTGTTTGATTCCCTCCTGAGATTTTCAACTGCTGTTCATATAAGTTGCTCAGAGATACAGTTTCATTTAATCTCTTGCAGCTGCTTCTTGCTTATTAGAGATTTAGACCTTACAAGTTCTGGGTTCAGAAGTCTCTCCATATATGATAAATTCATGCCACAAACAATATAAAGTGTGGCTGTTATTGGTGGCTATGATCCCCATATCATCTTAGTCACTCTAGTAAGCTAGTAACCTTACTCTGTCATTTAAAGTGGCATCCAAGAACCTCGACTGGTTTGCAGAGAGTAGCACAACCTGTACTGTGTTTTC